TTGTCTCTTCTCACCTAGATAAGCAAACAATGGATCTGGGGATTAAAGGACTCAGGAGACTCAGTGGCAGACCCTGAATGACATCATTTCCCCTGTTCTTCTGTGTGTTCTTCAGGGAATGAGCTTTGTCACCTCTATGCCACTTCCTTCAGCACTGGAAAGAAACAGAATCCAGCCCTACTTTAACATGTTTCAGATGAAGAATCAGATTCAGAGGGGCTGTGTGTCTCACCTGAGGCCACAGGAATTCTCACCTGATGGCTGGAGATTATGGGAGGATCAGAGTAGTGATGAAGGCCTGGGACAGACCATCTAGCTATGGCGGGTTTGATGCAGTTGGTTTCACTTATTAGCCTGGTTTGCTCGAAGATTATGCTTCCTTCTAGACCCATTCAAGTCTTACCACTTGTAGGAAGCTTGACTGAACCCCTCATGGGCAGTTCTTCAGCTCTCAGTGAACTGCACATGGATAACCTTTTTCTTCCATACCACAGCAAAATATCTTCAGTTTAAACACTTTCTTCCCAGAATATTCTCTGTGATAAGTATTCAGTCCTACAAGGTATTTAAATTTGAAATAAAGACTGCTTTAAAAATTAAAACTTGAAACTCAAAAATTGCCAAAAGTAGATTTTATTCATAATTATTTTTATTTTGAAAAATTGGCCAGAGAATAAATGTGCTCCCCAGAGAGAGAGGGAGAGAGAGATACAGAGAGACAGAGAAAGAGAGGAAGAAAACACTCTCCAATGGGGGCATGGTCACACCACAATATCTTTTCCTTTATTTCTCCATCTTGTTGGAATTTTGGGCATACATGTGAACACGCTGGGTGTTTTTTTCAAGCCACTGGGCCCAGGATTTGAACTGCATAGTTGGCCATCTGAGATACAGCTTCCTTAACCACTAGGCTACTGGGCTGACCAGAGAGTAGATTTTAAGTGTTTCTATCACAAAAAATGATAACTGTGTAAAGTAATGCTTATGTTAATCAGCTTGATTTAGCAGTTCCACAATGTCTGCATATATTAAAACATTAAGTTGTATACCATAAATATGTGCAACTTCTATTTGTCAATCAAAAATAAATAAAAAGTAAGACTGGTTTATGATGGAAAATTAGTAACACAGAGTAGGGAAAAGTCTTTACTGAGGAGGAGCCTCTTAGGGCCCCTCAAATCCTACTATGCTGCCAGTGAAAGAGGGAACTGCCACTGTCTGGTGCAGGTGCAGAACCAGAAGTTTCTATGAGGCCCGCCCCCTTCATACTTCTCTTTTGCTTCTATAGCTTTCTTCTGTGCTTATAATCCTCTACTTGTTCAACTTAAAGCTTTGTCATTTGTGTATCTATCCTTGACAGTATGATTTTGTTTAGTGCATTTTTTATATTTATATTTATATTTATAATTTCTGGTTATTTTCTTTAATAATATAAATTATTTTTCCTCACATGAAAGAAGTCTGAAGATAGGCATCCTTGGGTCCATATGGTGGATTATGAATGTTACCAGGGGCTTAGGCTTCTCTGTCTTTCTGCTGTGCTGCCTTCTATACATTGATTTCTTTCTTTTTTTCTTTTCTTTTTGTGCTAAAGGCACATATGCTTGTGAGAGAGAGAGAGAGAGAGAGAGAGAGAGAGAGAAATTGCTCCTCCTAAGGAGGATGGCCATGCCACAATCCCTTCATCCCTTCTTTTCAAGCTGTTGGGTCTAGGACTTGAAATATGAAGTTGTCCATGTGGGATCCAGTACCTTAGTCATCATACCACCAACTGGCCCACATTGGTTTCATCTTTAAGTTCATATTTTTGTCCATAACAGCTGCCAGGGCTCCAGACATCACATCCACACTCCAGGCCAAAAGAATAAAAACTTTAAGACAAGCTTTTTGAGTTTTGTGCTTTTATACAAATGCTTTTATGAACATTCTGTACCTACATCCTAGTGTGCATGGGCAGAAATTTCTCCAAGTGTATAGCTAAGCCACTGGAATAGTTGGGTTACTGGTTCCATGTATCTTTATTTTGAAATGATAATGTCAAACTATTTTACAAAGTTATTACCCAATTTATGCTGCCCATTTTTCATATCCTTGTCAACATGATGGTGTCATACTTTTTAATTTTTGTTAATCCAGTGAACACATTGCTGTTTTTGAATGTGTATTTTATTTTACTTTTCCCCTTTCATTTCTTATTTCAATTTCTGTTATTCATTCAATCACATGTTACTTAGCTTACAAAGTGAATATTCCAACATGTGTACATTTTTTACCAGTCCAGTTGACAATACTATAAAGTTATCTTCAATAGATAATAACCCATTTCTTTTTCCCATAAATGCCTTGTCTCTCTCTGTTTCTCCTTAATGTCCTTCCTCAGACTCTACTCCTTTATTTACCTTCTTCCTACACAATATCTGGTATTCACAACCGTTTACTAAATTTCTATAATCTTTAGTCATTCAGTTTCAGTTATATAGTGCAGATTCTCGGTATATAACAAGTGGAGACATACAATGCTTCTCCTTCATAGCCGGGCTTGCTTCACTCAGCAGTAAATGTTCCATATTCATTCACTTTCTGTCGAAAGTCAGGGTCTTCTTTTTTATGGCTGAGTAGTATTCCATAGAGTATATGTGCCACACTTTTTCAATCCATTCATCTGTTTGTGGGCATTTGGGTTGGTACCATGTCTTAGTAATGTGAATCATGCCACAATAAACATCGATGTGCAAACACTTTTCCAATTAAGAATTCTTCTGTCCTTTGGGTAGATACCAAGGAGTGGGATTGCTGGATCATATGGTAGTTCTATTTGTAAATCTTTGTGGGATCTCCAAATTGTTCTCCACAGTGGCTGGACCAATTTACATTCCCACCAGCAGTGTAAGAGAATTCCCCTTCAGTATTGTAAAAGATTTAGTTCCCCTTTCCCCACACCCCCGCCAGCGCTTACTAATTTTTTTTTATCTTAGTCATTCTGACTGTGGTTAGGTGGTATCTCATTGTGGTTTTGATCTGCATCTCCCTTACAAGGAGGGATGTTGAGCATTTTTTCACATACCTTTTGCTATTTGTATGTTTTTTTTTAGAGTGTTTTTTTTTCAACTCATTCTCCCATCTTTTAATAGAGTTGATCATCTTTTTTCAGGACAGCTGCTTGAGTTCCTTGTGCATTCTGGTTATCAGTCCCTTATCTGACTCATAGTTTACAAAAATATTTTCTCATTCTGAGGGCTGTTGATCCACACTAATTACTGTGTCTTTTGCCATGCAGAAAAAATTACTAATAAGGATAGTGGCTTCATAGCAATGTGCTTCCAATTCTGAATCTCTTTTACACATTTAGCTTTATGATGACCATGGAAATTTGTTATTAGCCTAACATGGACCAGGTGCTCATTTCTGAGTCAATTAACTGCAGGCAATGTAGTGAGTGAGTCATTTTTTTGTTGTTTGGATAGTTTCACGTGCACTCACCAGACAGACAGAGAGAGACATAGAGACAGAAGGCACCCCCCAGGGGAGATGGTCATGCCGCAATCCCTTCTCCTTCATTCTCCTCTCAGGATTTTGGGCACGCATGCACACGTGCCTGGCGTGAGTTTTAAGCCACCGGGTCCGGGATGCGAACCGCGGTTGACTACGTGGGAGTCCAGCGACATAGCCATTACACCAACTGCTGGTTCCCTGTAGTGAGTCATTTTAATAAAATGATTGTAGGGACCAGCAGGTGGTATGGTGGTTAAGGTACTGGACTCCCACTTTGCTGACCATGGTTTAAGTCCCATACCTGGTGCTTGTGTGCCCAAGATCCTGAAAGAACAATGGAGAAGAGATTGTGGCATGGCCATCTCCTCTTGGGGGTGATTTCTCACTTTCTGTCTCTCCAGTGAGTGCACATCCCCTGTGGCAAAAAATCTCCAAAATAATGTTTTGTTTTTCCATTTGGAGGGGCAAAGTGGATTCCCTTCTTATAAAATCAATGTTCATTGGGCACACAATAATATATTCAATAAATATATCCTTTGATTATTTTTGATTATGTGAGATGCAGACAAATGCAGTACATTTCCCCCAATTAAATATTTAAATTTGTTTTATTTCTTGGTGCAAAGGATTGAGTTATTCATCTTCCTCAATCCATAATCTTCACTGACTTTCTATCATTGCTCTCATAGGAACTTCTGGAAAGAAGTATTTTCTTTTTCTCAGTCTGAAAATGATTGCCTAGGTGTTTTGTTATTTTTATTAAACTGTCTATTTTTATGTACTTGTTTGTGTCTGTTTATGTTTCACAAATAAATGCTAGCTCAGAGATTCCAAGATATAATCTTTGATCCATAAAGAAAGGAGATGTTGGGACCAGCAGTTGGGGTAATGTCCATGTCACTGGACTCCCATGTAGTCGACCACGGTTCGAGTCCTGGACCTGGTGGCTTAAACTCATGCTGGGCTTGTGTGCATGCATGCCCAAAATCCTGAGAGGAGAATGGAGGAGAAGTGATTGTGGCGTGGCCATCCCCCTGGGGGGTGGTTTCTCCTTTCTGTCTCTGTCTCTCTCTGTCTTTCTGGTGAGCGCCCACACCCTATAGTAAAAACCTCATAAAAAAAAAAAGAAAAACATAAAGAAGGAGATGCTGATGGGAGCAATTAAAAAAAAAAAAAAAAAAAAAAGAATGGCAAGTCCAAACATAGGCGCAGAGTATACGGTGGTTTAAAATAAACTCAAGACTTTTTAGACTTGAGATTCCATATTATTACATGAGAGAATAGCATGAATTGCTGGGTGCTAAGGAATGGATCGAAGTGGGAGAGAGAGGTTAAGAAGAAAGTACCACGGAATTGTTGGAAGAAAAATTTACCAGTTGTTAGTTTGTAGTTTTTCTTCTGTACCTGGTGGCACCTGTCTGCTTTCTCTCTATTTGTGAGTATGTTACATGTAGTGTTGGTATATTGACATAGGAAGGAAGCAGACTGAGAGGCTCTCTCACTCAGATCTACATGCTCTGGGACACCTGAAATCTACCAGTGACCTTCTTGAAGGCAGTTTTCACATCCTTGTTTCTCAGGCTGTAGATCAAAGGGTTCAGCATGGGTATAACCACGGTGTAGAAGACAGACACCACCTTGTCTTCCTCCAGGGATTTGCCTGAGCCGCTTCGTAGATACATGAAGATGAGAGTGCCAAAGAAAAGGGCCACAGCAGTGAGGTGGGAGGCACATGTAGAGAAAGTCTTGGCCCTGCCACCTGAAGACTTTATTCTCAAAATGGCCTTGATGATGAGCAAGTAGGAAATCAGAATGACCAAAGCGTTGGCTAAAATCACAAAGTTGCCAAAGAAGACAATGACAATTTCAGTGTTTGTTGTGTCACTGCAGGCAAGCTTCAGCAGGGGTGGGAGGTCACAGAAGAAGAAGTTGATCTGATTGTCACTGCAGAAGGAGAGGGTAAAGGTGCATGCAGTACGCAGGATGGCCCCTGACATCCCACAGACATAGGATCCTACCACCAAGCTCCAGCAGATTCTGGGATTCATGGCCACTGTATAAAGTAGTGGGTTGCTAATAGCAACGTAACGGTCATAGGCCATAACTGCTAGCATGAAACACTCTGTGCCTGCACAGATGGTGAAAAAAAAGAACTGGGCAGCACAGCGGCCATAGGAGATGGCCATTTTTCCTGTAACCAGTGTGGCCAGGATCTGAGGGGTGATGACTGAGGTGTAACAGGCATCGAGCAGGGAGAGGTGACTCAGGAAGAAGTACATGGGGGTGTGGAGGTGGATATTCACTTGGATTAGGATAATCAGCCCCACATTCCCCACAAGGGTGATTAGGTAGAAACTCAGAAAGACAAGGAAGAGGAGAATCTCCAAGTTGGGATAGTCAGTAAAACCAATGAGAATAAACTCAGCTATTGTAGTGAGATTATTCTTGGCCATGGATTTATTATGGATTGTTGGTCTGAAAATGAGAATTAAACTAAAAAAAAAAAAACCAACAAAAACAAAAAACCAAATCAGAATTGAAGAACAGAATATTTATCTCTTTGATAGATGTCAGGTCTAGAATTCTGAGCTTGTTTTTCAACCCGGCTGATTCTTCTTGGGTATCTCCTGCATTTCATGAAGCTGAGCCTTAAGCTGATGTTTCTGATTCAAATGAATTCTGGTTTACATTTGTAAATCTCTGTAAAGATAAGAAACAACATGATTCTCAGGTTTGGAAGAGACCTAGAGAGCTTCTGTTTCAATATCATTTGGGGCTGGAGTCACCTTTACTGTATATCTACCGTGGATTGTCCGTCAGCTGTGTGTTTCCATCTACAAACAGTTCTTTCTGTTAATTCTTTTTGACTAGATTCTTTACATAACAGCCTTAGTTTCACCTTTTTAGACACTCACAACTATTTTAATTCCTTTCAAAAGTTGAAAGACAGTGGATCTGCTCTTCATATTGACTATTCTCTTGTAGTACACGTTAACAGCTTTTTTTCTTATTATGTAATTAGATAGGCAATCAAATAATTGCCTACTCAGATAGTATTAACTGATAACTGAAAGCTTTTTTCTCCACTTTAATGTTTACCACCCCAGCTTAGAGGCCAGCATCTTCAATATATTATATTTATTTTTTAATTATGTTTAACACCACGATTACATGTAATATGCTTAAATACGTGATTTTGTTTCCCTTTAGTTATGAGATTTTGGACAAATTATCTCAGTTCCTTATCCATAATGAAAAAAAAAAGCCTACATCAGAGGGCTATTTGAATATTAGATAAGTTAATACATTTAAAGATTTTAAAGTGCCTGCTACACAGAAAAAGTTAAATAGTGTTAGCTACTATTATTGTTTGCTATTATCACCACCACTTTTAGATAGTAATTATTACTTTTTTTATTCTGAAAGATAATGTATCTCCCTTACATTAAGTTTGTTATATTATTTGGTTGTTGGGAAAGTCATGATGTGTTTTTGCACAGAAAAACAGAATGATACCTCTTGACTTTCCCAACAACCTGATCCTATCCATATCCCTTTAAATAACATATTTGTATCTTATTTCAATACTATATATATGTACACACACACACACACACATACAGTTTCAATAATAAACCAAGTAAATATGAACTCTCACCAAGTAAAATGAATAAATTATCCTGTTCTTTCCTTCACTTTTCTTCTAACCCATTAAGGGAAAAAAACACTTCAATCATTATCTCATTCATGTACCAATTCTTGCTAATCTTCTAAGGTCTTCTATGCATTGTCTATGGCATGATTCTGAAGATTCTAATTGGTGCTTCTCCATTATGATTACATACATGCCATACACGAAAAGACTAAATAGCGTGATTAAATTTGTAGAGAAGAAAATATCACCAAACTCCTGCTTCTAGAAGCTTTCAAACATCGAGTTAAATGAATGCTCTTTTTTTGGTACTCTACCAATTGCTCAAAATAATTATGTTTCATTTGCTTTATATTTGAGTCATGACAACTTTTACATTTCCTGAAATTTCTCATCGCCATATGGCATAGATTTGCATTGCATCGCGATACTGTGATCATGCTGCTGACCATTCTCCAAGTCTATGCCGGATCCTCATTAAAGTGCCTAAGGCCCAAGGGATCCTTGGGAGCCTTTGCAAGGAAACCCAGATCTATATATCATTTTTTATTTAAACATATCTCTACTCTCCTGGAAACTTCCATACAAAATATTGTATAAATGTCTGGCAACAATCTTACTATACTGATGACACTAGTCTTATTTGTAGATGAGAATCAGACTAGACATAAAACTATCTGTTGATTTTATGTGTGGAAAAGCCAAAGTCTCTTGATTCCATTACCCTAGACCACCCCCCTTAAATCATTTTTTTGGCCTCCCTAACACCACATCTCTAATTCTCTCAGATTGACATTTGCTAATCCAGAGTCTTTTAAGTCTACAACTTAATTCACACATATACAATTAAATTATTAGAAACTCTTCTCCATTTAGCACAACTAGGGATTTTATTTGCTATAGCAACACAGGGATTGTGATTGTCATTTCTGACAGTCTGTAGTAATAAAAACTACTCATAGCCTGCATACTCTTTGGCCTCTGCCACTTCCTGTTCACACTGCCTGGCATGCCATGGTCACTACATTGTGGTCTGCCTTCTTGGCTCATCCTCCCTCCTCCTCACCTCAGGTCAGCTTCTGGCCTCATTGGGATTGGAGAGGTTGAGGTACATTGGGCAATATTATCATTGACTGAGAGGATGGAAAACCACCACCACCTCTGAAGCCTACAGGTACCTGGGCTGCAGCCATTGCTGGTGAGCAGCCCCTGCAGAGAAAGTAATCAGGTGAGACTGTCAGAGGGCAGGAATGAGTCAACAGGAACTTGTAGTTTGCATGGTTTCTAGTTGCCAAAGTATGGAGGAGCCAATTGTCTGAAGCCAGTGAAGTTCTGGAGAGGTTCTCCCTTTTCATCTCAGCTCCATCCCTTATGGAGGAGAGAAATGAGACACACTCTCCTTTGAAACTCTGAACCCAGGACTCCCACTCTGAGTGTGAATCTCATCCACACCCAGCATCTCACTCACAGAAGAAGGAACAAAGACAGAGCTAATACACATCATAGGGAAGTATAGGAGCAGGCAGCTTCAAAGAAAAAAAAAGTGGACATTTAATGGTGTCTAGAGGTCTGATGTTAGTCTGATGGGTTAAGTTTTGTAAGTATCTTGACATTTCTGAAAGTTTTAGAGTATTGTCTTTTTTTTTTTTTTTTTTTTTTTTTTTTTTTCATTTTT